AAGTATATAATTGTTGATGAATTGCTTAATGATGAAAGGAGGAAAGGATGCATGTTAGAAATTAAGGCCTTAGAAATTCGAAAATAAAGTGCATGCCAACTGTTTGGTGAAATGTTCAAATTGAATTATAATGTGTTATGCAACTAAATACTCTCACATTTAGTCCTAAGTAACATTATGTTATTAAAATTTTAGACTAACTATGAGTATGTTGCAGATGGGTCCAAGGAAAGAATCTCAGGGTGCCTCGTTATCTAGGGCTGCAGGTAAAAGGCCGCGAACTGAGCCATCAGGAATCCAGATTGACAGAAGGAGATTTAGAGATGCTGAAAGGCAGACAAGGTTCGAAAGAATTAGGAACTGGACCTTCATTTCAGAGCGGAGAGTAGAACTGAATGAAGGAGAGTACCCGGAGTTCAATAATGAGATAACCCGCAGGAGTTGGAGGCAGTCGACACTCCCGATGCCCAAATATGACCCAGAAATTGTGAGGGAGTTCTATGCCAACGCCTGCTTGGTAGAAGGTGAGCCATTCAGGACACGCTCAAAGGTGATAGGTAGATGGGTTTCGTACAATAGGAACGCCATCAATGATCTGTTAGGAAATCCATTATTTATGGAGAAAGGCCATATTTGTAATTATCAGGTCATCAGGAACAACAGGCGTCTTACTAAGATACATTTTAGAGACGATGACACTGCAAGAGCCTTATGCGTGCCCAGAAGGACTTATGAAGCAAATCATGCTGGGAAGACCTTAAGGATTTTAAGGGCCAACATGACCACCATCACTCAAATTTAGACCTCTTTCCCGTTGGCCAATATTATTCCCATAAAGCATAGCTCAGACCTGAACATGCCCAGATGTCATTTTATCAGGTGTATTTTGGATGGAACCAAGATTGGCGTCGCCGCCATTATGTCTAAAGAGATTTATCAATTTGTGGTTTTAGAAATCGGGCGACGAGTAGAGCAACCAAAAGCTCTTAGATTCCCTGCCCTGATAACAACCCTTTGTGTAGCTCATGGTGTGGAAGTCAACCCAACAGTGAACATCCTTCCGCCAATCAATAGAAGATTCATCGAGCGACACTGTGTGAACCCTGCAAAAGAGGCACTACAGCCATTGGCACAGGAGCCACCTCAGCCAAGAGGAGCCCAACAACCACCTCCACCACCCCAGCAGCCAGTCTATCAAAGAATGATGCAGTACATGGAGCATCTAACTTTGCAGCAATCAGTGACCCATAGGGGTCAATGTAGTATTAATGAAAACTTTTATAATTTATCTTTGCAAATTGCTCCAAGTATGCAGTGGACATCGCCTCAGGAGTTTGATGCTTTGGTTCAATGGCCCGGGGACAGTCCATATTTTCCAGGAGGGGGTGAAGGTGCAGGTGCAGGTGGTGCACAGGAAGCACAGCAGGGAGCTCAAGGAGAAAAAGAATCAAGAGAAGAGGAATCAGGATCTGGGTCAGAAGAGTCTGAAGAAGGGAGTGAAGAAGAGGATTGAGAGGGAGAAAAATTTAAATTTTAAGTTTTTACTTATTTTATTTTATTTTTATTTTGGTGTGTTTAATTGAATCATTTGAGATTTTAAGTTTGTATTTGAATTATTTTATTTTGTTTTGTTGAATATCTTGAATTCACAAGTAATGTGATGAATGATAAAATTTGTGTGATTAGATTGTTGTCCCATATAAATTGTTTAGAATCATATATGAGATTATTGTTTATTGTCCAATTCAAATTTGGAACTGAAGAAAACCATTTTGATTGTTTCCAATAACAAGTGATTTTGGGATGTTGAGTATGATAGTGAAAAGGAATTGATAAGGAGAATTAGGAATTAACTGAATTGGAGAAGCTAGCCAAAACCCAGGTGAGTAGAGTACCAAAAATAGATAAATTGAGTGTCAACACTTTGTGATTGATAACTGATATTGGTTGATTCTTTGATGTGATTGCATGTTGGCAATACTTGAAAATGATAAAGACAATTTTTTTTTCTGTGTAGTAGATATAGTCCAGAGCCAAATAGTCAACCCTGCATTAATTTTAGGACATCCATTTGAACCCCTTCTGAGCCAAAAATAATATTGTTCTTAAATAGAACCCGTAAGCCCAAACACTATTTATCTACCTTCCTATATTTGAGAAAGGAAATGAGTATGAATGTCACTATTTTTTCTATTGTTGGGTATTGCTATTGTTGTCCTACAGGTATTATTGGGGTGTTATTCAAAAAAAAAGGTGTAAATAAAAAGGAAAAGCAAAGCTTAAAAATTGGCAAAGCCAAAAAGAATACATGCAAAAGCATGAAAAAAAAAGTATAAAAGTAGTTCAAGGGGGGAATAATAACTTAACTCACTGTCATTGTGTTAGGGACAAAAGCATGAAGTTTGAAACCTGACTTGAGGAATTGTTAATCAAGAATCATTCATATGAGTTGAATTTCTCAAATATTTTTGTGTATCCCAGAAAAACCAATAATTCTTTCTTAGCTCAACCCCATTACAAGCCTCAAAAGACCTTTTGATTTAAGTTTTGTTTAACAATTGTTGATTGCTTGAAGATGGTTATCAATATTGGATTGTCTAAATGAAGTGATTGAATGAGATAAACACTTACCTGTGATAATTAGAGATGAGTATATATAACTCTATTTGAGAGATCATGCTTCTCTGAGGATAGTTGAGGACAAATTATTCTTTGTTAGTTTCTATAACTTGAATGCTTATGTGTTCTATTTTCATTTGAAGTTGTGAGCATCACCTCTGAAAATTTTTATGTTGTGGTTCTGGAAGAGAATGTGATAATAGGCGATGGTTTTGTTTTGGAAAAACTACTTTGCTTGGGACAAGCAAGATTCTAGGTTGGGGGGAGTTGTTAAGTGGTAAAAAGTTGATATAATTATACCTTGAATTGTTATGAAACCACTTAACTATTGCTAATTCCAATCTATTTTTATCCCAATATAGGATGAATTCAAAAATACCTTGATACAAGAGTAAGGAGCATGATTGATAGCAGAATTAGAGTAAAAATGGAAAAAGGAAGAAGATTTTCAGCATGAAAGTCGCTCGAGCGGGATGGATTCTCGCTTGAGCGAATGTTAGTTATTCTTCTCTGGAATTCACTCGCTCAAGCGAGCCAAGACATGCTCAAGCGAATATCAGTTATTCTTCTTTGGAAGTCAATTGCTCAAGCGCAGGAAAATTCTCGCTTGAGCGAATGTTAGTTATTCTTCTCTGAAATTCACTCGCTCAAGCGAATATCAGTTATTCTTCTCTGGAAGTCAGTCGCTCAAGCGCAGGAAAATTCACTTGAACGAATGTTAGTTATTCTTCTCTGGAGTTTATTCGCTCAAGCGAGTGTTTTGTCGCTTGAGCGAAAACAGGCTACTTTCGCTTGAGCAAAAGTTCTCGCTCGAGCGAAAGACGCGAAACCCAAAAGCCCAAATTTTTCCAATTTAAAGAGAAGATGTGTTTTGAGAAAAGGAAGCATTCTTGGAGAGGAGGAGACACGACTACTGTTAGGGTTTTGTCCAATCTTCATCAATTCTTCACTTCTTCATCAATTGGAGCATTGTAATGGCCAACATGAGTGACTAACTTCATTCTCTTAGGATTCGGTGCACTTCCTTTGAACTGTTTTGTATCATGATGATATTTTGAGATATTAATCTATGCTTTGATGTTGTTATTCTTATCCTTTATGCTTTGGAATGATTTATTCTTGATTTTTGGGGTATGATTGGAAAATATATCTTGAACCCTAGATCACGGTAAGAATATTTGTTACGTTAATTGTCAGGAATGGAATGAATGTATCAATTGCTTAACACCCTAACCCTAATGATGGAAAATCTCTTAAATGTGTGAGGAATCAAAATTTATTAGGTTTTCTTATGAATTTCATGTGTGAGGAATCAACATGGATAGTTTGAGTAGGTGACATCAACATTGTTAGGTTAATTGACGTTCTTAATTGATTTAGCCATTACGAAAGAGGGATAAGGAAGGAAGCCAATCCTAAATACCTTTAATTGATATTTTCTCAACAATTTATAGTTCTTTATCATTTAATTTCAATTCAACTCTTATTTGCAAAACTTAATCTGTTTAATCTACTTAATAAGCATAATTGGGAATTTCTATTGAAACTGTTCCTTGTGGGATCGACTTTTATTTAATCGAAATACTATACTGCGATTGATAATTTTGGTACGCTTGTCAATAATTCAACAAGGATGCTCAAATTTCTAATCATTGGGAAAAGACAAATTTGTCACTAAGGGGCGACTATGATTAGGTGGATCCTTGCGTAAATGGCTACTTCTCCAAGTACTGTTGGTTAAGCATGTTGACATCTTTTTCGTGAGCCAACATATGGTTAAGGGGAGTGGAAATGAGGACATGGTTTCATTGGGTAGGTGTTATGTCATTGAGAATGTTTTTCATGGTTGTAAGGGTGGTATGAGACTTTTTCTATATGTTTGTTTAGTTAAGGATTCACATGTTAGGTTTCCTCTTGATGATTTTACAATGGGTGTGTGAGTACTTAACGTAGCACCCACCTAATTGCATCCTAATAGTTTGGCCGCTCTTCAAGCGTTTATGTTGGTATGTAACATTTTACACTTGAAACCTACTTCTTTGATGTTTCTTTAATCATTTTAATACTCATCTCAATGTCCGAGTTGGTTAGTTATCCCTTGTCGGTTAGTCTTCCAATATGTTGTTTGAGACATATGCTTCATATTTCAACCATTTTAAAAAAAGGCTTCTTCAAGGTGAGTGGAGGAGGATGTTCGTCGTTACTTTTATGATACGAGAAGATTAAGTTTCTTTTCTACTGGACTTCTAATTCACTCTAGTATGCCATTGGGTGAGGATCGAGATGTGTTCGTCCGATATATTGAAGCTAGAAATGCTTGATAAGCTTCCTTGTCGACTTCTCATCCAGAAGTTTCTTTGGACATTTCTATCTTTGTGTTGCTAGAGTGAAATTTTTGGTATAATATTATTCTTAGAAGAACTCTGGCCACCATCATTCTTCCTCCATAATGTAGTTCGCATATCCTTGTATGGAGATTTGCTAGGATGTATTCCATTTGTTCCTTGGACACACATTTCAGCAATGGTTTGTTGAAGCCGCATCTAATCCATACATAACCAATGATTGTGAAATTGTAGACCTTTCTTTGATGTTTGGATACCTCCTTATTCCTCAATCATTAAGTTTTGAATTGGTGCCATCCAGCATGACTCTGTTGTGATGGTGCAACTTTCTTCGGTATCAATAGATGATCAAGTAATCACTTATTGAATTATTATTCAATGTTGTCCTTTTTGTTTGGTGCTAGCTAGTTTTCATAGCAAATATGCTTTCAAGTTTTCCTCTCGTTGGATATGTTCGACTTTGGTTTCTTCAAATTTGGCCAATAATTTGGTAACCATGTGGTAGTATCTTAACAAACAAGGGTCTTTCACTTTAAGTTCTTTGGATATGTATCCCATAATGAGTTGGAAATCAATCTTACAAGCCAATCTTGTCGCTCTCATATCCTTGGCCAATCTTATACCCGCTATTAAAACCTCGTATTTGATATGATTGTTAAAGGTTTTAAAGTTAAAAACCAATGATTAATCCACTAGAAAATTGTTTGGCCCTTCAAATGCAGTACTTACTCCACTACCCTTCTAGTTGGAGGATTTGTCTATGTAACCCCCTTTACAGATTACATTTATTAATTCTAATTTATTATCTAAGTTAGTAATATTTTCAATATTCATAGAAGGTTAATAGAAAATATACTAAGTGAACAATTAATTTAGGTAAGGTTTTATATTAAATCAAGCAACAAGTTCTAGTACAAAGTTTTCAAAATATTACAAGTCATAAAGTTATACTTATATGTTATACAATTCCCATCCTAAGCTCTGGATTTTTGCATCTGACATCTATCTCTTGAATTATGTATTCCTGCATCATACGTCACCAACATCTCGGAATTGAAATATTTATGGGGTTAGACATTTAATTTTATCCACAACAAATAAAGCAAACATTCATACGATAAAATCAACCAATGAAAAATTTCTTCTAATAAATATACAACCGTATATAATTTAATTTAAAAATTAATTATGAGAAACAAATAAATAAATCATGGAATCATAATATAGAATATCGTACAAATCATGAATAATTTACAATTTTATCATGCAATATGTTTATGATATGCACATGTGACTCCAAACGTAAAACTTTAAAATCATGCTTTTGACTCAAAATAAAAAATTATTTTTGACTCAGTGCTCCATGGAGACTCATTTGAGTGTCTAGTGAAACCAGAGCTTAACATCACCCTGTCCGGTGATTCGGCAATGTCCCACTAAACGCGAACAAGTAGACAGTAGTCGAGTGTCGGTGCACCCGCAGGCTACCACGGCACGAGAATCAAATAAAGACCGGCCACTTATGGAATTGCCCATGCCCAAACACTCCCTAGACCAGAGGTCCATCCCCATAGACCAGAGGTCCTGTCTTACCTATTCTACTCCCCCATTTACTATCGAGAGATTCTGGTAGCTCAATTTTTAATAATTCATTCTCTGTCTCATTTGGCCAGCCATTTTCATAGTCATATTTCACTACCGGATACTCTTGATAGTAAATTGACTCACAGAAAATGTAAAAATTATGTTTTACACATCATTATTCCTACCAACCGTCCTTGGTAGCAACTTAAGAGAAATTTCCAAATACTTTTCTGTAAAAACTTTTCTGTGACTTCCGAAAACATTTCATGCACTATGTTTATGTCTCGTATGAAACAAAACAATCTATCATCAATTAAATACTTAAAAACATCTCCTTCATATATTTAAAATTTTAATTACAATTCATAGTTGTTTTAAGCAAGACAAATTTTATTAATAATTTATTTCATAGTGGTTCAGTGTTTTGTCCATATCTTGAGTTCTAGACCTCATTTTAAGATGATTCCAATTGTGTTGGAAAGATAACATAATAATCTATAACTTTGATGAAGGCACTATCCTCAAATTCTAACGTTTATTGAGTCGTTTTCCTAGTAAACAAAGAGGGGTAATATACTGTTTGACTTTATCTCGATTTTACCCTTGATCTTTTGCAAAAATTCCCACCTAGTCCTTTCTTCTTCCTTCTCTCGCTCAAGCGAATACACCGGTCGCTTGAGCGAGATGGAACCCGAGAGTCCCCTTTTGTTTGAAGACTTCGTCGCTCAAGCGAGTACATCGGTCGCTTGAGCGAGTAATGACCCGAGAGTCCCCTTTGTTTGAAGCTTTCGTCGCTCGAGCGAGTACACTTGTCGCTTGAGCGAGACATGACCCTTAGTCCCCTTTGTTTGAAGCTTTCGTCGCTCGAGCGAGTACACTTGTCGCTTGAGCGAGACATGACCGTTAGTCCCCTTTGTTTGAAGCTTTCGTCGCTCGAGCGAGTACACTTGTCGCATGAGCGAGACATGACCGTTAGTCGCTCAAGCGATGTAATTATCGCTTGAGCGATAAAGAACCCGAGAATCCCAAATTTTCCAGGTATCCTCGCTCAAGCGACATATTTTTCGCTTGAGCGAGTTTTGCAGATTTTCATCAGTTCGCCATTTTCGAAATCCAAGTTTCAAATTTCTCAGTTTCAATCACTCAAATTTGTTCCAAATCAAAATTAAACCATAAATATGTTCAATTTAAGTTAAAAACAACAATTTTATTATATAATTCATCCTTAATTGAAAGAAATTCAACAATATTTCAATCTTTGCAATTGATGAATAGTAATCTCCAATTACAGACATTCGTATCAATAAAACTAAACGTCTAACCCATACCTGATTCCTCAATATCTTATTACTCTCCTAATTTTGTATGCTCCTCCTTTCCTCCTTTCTCTCTCGGTGATATTCTTCAAGTTGGTCGTGAATTGTGTTGGTGTATGTTTCCAGTTTCCTCCTATTTATAAACTTACTCACCGACTTAATTCTTTCTAGGATTTTCTTCGCTGTCTTTATTCTTCACCGCCTTAATTTAATTCCGATTCTTCACCGACTTAATTCAAATGTATTTAGGCCACTACCGACCTTCTGTTTCTCTCTTTTTCTTTTTTTTTTTTTTAATATTTATTTACTCATTTATTTAATTTTTTTATTATTAAGAATTATTATTAAATTATTATTTGACACAATATTAACCTTGGATTTTATTTTATAATTTTCTTAAGACAAAATTACTATAAAAATCATGTTTTATTTTTATAATAACTCTACATAATATTCGGTACATATTTATAACTTACAAAATTTATTTATATAATTGATTACAAAATTTAGGATATTACAATTCTCCCCTACTAAATAAAATTTCGTCCTCGAAATTTGTAATACATTCTATGTGAATAGATAAGGGTATTCACTTCTCATTTTCTCTTCCAGTTCCCATGTAGCGTCGCCTCTAACATCATCCCGGATAACCTTAACTAGTGGAATATCTTTTCCTCTTAGATGCTTAATCCTTCTTTGTTCTATCTTAACAGGACTTGGTTCAAAGGTGAGGTTTTCCTTCACTTGTACTTGATCAAGTTCTAGGACATGTGTTGGATCCGAAATGTACTTTCTTAATTGTGACACATGGAATACATCATGAAGATTTGAGAGAAAAGGTGGTAAGGCTATCTCGGTATGCAACATTTCCAACCCGTTTTGTAATTTGATAAGGCCCAATATATTTAGGGGAAAGTTTCTTAGATTTAATAGCTCTGCCAATTCCCGTAATAGGTGTAACTTTCAAAAATACATGATCTCCTTCTTGAAATTCTAAAGGTTTCCTTCTCCTATCAAGCATAACTTTTCTCGTCGACTTTGAGCAGCTTCTCATCTTATCTTGAATTATTTTTACCTTATTCGTTGTTTGTTGGATTATATCCGGTCCTATTAATAAATTTTCACCATCCCGATACCAAACTAAAGGTGTCCTACACTTACGCCCATAAAGTGCTTCATAAGGGGCCATACCTATACTAGAGTGATAACTATTATTATATGTAAATTCTACTAGGGGTAAAATTTCATCCCAACTAAATTTTTCTTCTAATACACAAGCCCTTAAAAGATCTTCTAATGACTCGGATGGTTCTTTCGGTCCGCCCATCGGCTTGAGGATGATAGGCTGAACCGAGATGCAATTTACTTCCTAAAGCTTTTTGGAATTCTTTCCAGAATCTAGATACAAATCTGGGATCTCTATCCGAAACTATACTAGTTGGTACACCATGTAGTCTAACAATTTCTTTGATATATAATAATGCTAATTTATCTAAAGAGTACTTAATATTAATGGGAATGAAATGAGCAGTTTTTGTTAATCTATCCACAATCACCCAAATAGAATTGAAATTTCTAGAAGTTTTGGGTAAACCCATCACAAAATCCATGGATACACTATCCCATTTCCAAACTGGAATTTCTAATGGTTGTAACATGCCGGAGGGTTTTTGATGTTCTATTTTAATTTTCCGACATGTTAAGCAACGGGCAACATATTCTGCTACGTCCTTCTTCATTCCAGGCCACCAAAACATTTCTTTCAAATCCTTATACATTTTAGTAATTCCAGGATGTATACTTAATTTACTTTTATGTCCTTCTTCTAAAATTAAGTTCTTAATTTCTTTATTATCCGGCACACATACTCTATGTTTAAATCTTAATATATCATCCATTCCTAGATTAAAATCTCCAGCTTTATCAGTCCCTATTAATTTTTTCTTTTCTAATATAAACTCATCATCTCCTTGTTTGTCTCTTATTTTATATAAGAACTCATTATTAATAGAAATCATTCCTAATTGTATTCTATCATTTTCGCTAATAGTGTATAAATTTAAATCTCTAAATTGTTCTATCAATTCCATCTCTTTAATCATCATAGTTGAAACATGAACAGTTTTCCTACTTAAGGCATCAGCTTACTACATTCGCTTTTCCTGGATGATAAAATAACTGGAAATCATAATCTTTTATAAATTCCATCCATCTTCTTTGTCTCATATTCAACTCTTTTTGATCAAATAAATATTTCAAACTCTTATGATCACTATATACATCAAATTTAGATCCATA